CGAGAGAAATCAACATCTGCTTTTTGGCATTGGTGTAAACATGTTTCTTTTCACCTTTTAGGTTTGCCTTTGGTGCACCACACTGTCTCCGGGTGCACACTTCACACAGCAGCTTGCTGGCATCTCGGAGCTTCTCATTCTGGGTGAACTGGTATAAGCAGTGCTGGATGGAGCACTTGTCAGCACTGGACGCGTCCCTGTTCGCAAGGGTACAGAAGGCAGTTTCTGGCTCTTGGCCCACATACTCGTACAGCGTGGTCCTGGGAGTGGGGCTGCCATTCAGAATCTCCAGACGTATGTCGGGGTGAAGAGCAGCATCCAAGTACAGGTTCCAGAAACCCCTAGAAATGTCCACTTCCCCACCGCCCCCTGCATCCAGGCAGGCACCGTTCAAACTCCCAGGACAGTCAGTGGGAGATGACAAAACCTCCACGTCGTTATCCACGCTGACACTACATCCTCTGTGAATTTTTGATTGTCAGTTACATTTTCTATCATTTTCTCTTGGCCATTCAAGTCATTCTGATTAATATAATATTCTTTATTTATAACTTCCTCTTGTGAGAAGTACAACTAGTACAACACATATATAAAAGTTCTAATTCCACACTTAATTTGATAACAGTAGTCTTAGAGTAAGTAATTTCTTAAGAAAATTCTTTCTACTTTCCTTATTTACTTATTTCAGGCTTGCCTCAAATAAAAGGTCATTTATTATACCCTATATTAAAGACTAGGGGAAGGGCTGGTTGCCTCCCGCACTCTCCCCCTCAGATTTCCATCCCTTAAATCTTTCAGGGGTTGTTACCAGTGAGAGGATGAGACCTCGGTTCTTGTCTTCTTGAAGGAAAGGTTTCAATCAAGAGACAAAGTGTAGAAAAGCAAGCAAGAATTTATTGACCACAGCAAAAATGTACTTAGGACAGAGAAACAAGGAAGGGCACTGAAGAGGTAACAGGAGAGCCTAGGCTGGGCTGACTAGCTCACTGGGAAGTCAGAGAAAAGGGGGCCTTAGAGACAGGTGCAGGGGGTTAGCCGGGAAGGAGCTGCCACTGCCCATTGCTCCTCTGGTTCCAAGCCTCATTGGGTCTCTTGGAGTTTAGGAGATATGTAGGGGAAGAAGAGGGGGAAAGGAATGGTATGGGTGTGCTCCCTGGAGGGAGAGCCCACATGACCTGTTTAGAGGAGTTTTAAAGGCTGAGTGTTTAGGGGAGGATCAACAGAATATTCATCAGCTTTATGCAGATGTACCAAAATGAGATTTACTCTCTTAATTTGTCTGCCTTTGGGTATGGCTAGCAAATGGCACTAATTGGATTTTTGTTTTGTCTCCCAGAGTAGGGTGATTTTAGCTATTTACCCTCAGGTTGGGGAGAAGTGCAAACCATTTACTCTTAAGTTTCCTTGGTTTAGGGAAGATAGGATTTAGTAGTGGCCACAAATTGCTGTTTAACTATCTGTTACCCTATTCCACTTATCCTGGAATGTTCCTAGCTTCTTACTATGTTATAACATATCCAGCAGATAGTAGGCACCAAGTAATAACAATTCCTATAATTTTTTTTATTTTCCAAAGTAGCTTTTCTCGACTTTAATCTTGCAACCCAAAAAGTACTATCAGACACATTCTGATTGTCTAATAAAAAAAACAAGCAAGGTGAGTCTTCCTTTGACTGCAGAGGCCAAAGATCAGTTTAAGAAACTTCAGTTTTTATTATTACTTACCAGGCTGAGCATTTCTGAGGCTGTTGATTCTGTTTTGCTGTGAGACTGGCCACATGGCACAGTCCAGACCACTCAAGTGACTGCCTGAGTTGTCCCCCCGCAATGAAATCAGCTGTGCCAGGAGGGTGTCAGTTGTGGGAATCCTCACCAGCACACAGTTTAAAATGTGGAAGGTATTAATATTTAGCATGGACTTAAATACCTGCTCGTGTTGTTACTCTTGTTATTGCCCTCCCCGCCCCCAACCTAAGTCCAAATCTATTCCTACACCTCACTCTTCAGAAAGCAGGTAGAATATAAAAATCTCCTAACAAAGTATACATTGAAGATAAAATTAAATCCCTCATTACAGAGATTTTAGTCAGAGTGACTGAATCTGTGGTTGCGAGGATACAAGCTGAAATAAGCAGGTTTAGGGATTGGGTTGGGAAGCCTCTGGTGCTGTGAAGAAGTGTATCACAAAGTGGGAGCCTGGGTGTCACAGCCCATCTGGGGCACACATGTTATTTACATCCCTAATCACATAAATGGTGATGAACAGCCCAAGATGGTTTGCCAACAAATAGAACCTTTTACCATGCAGTAGTTACAATGGCCAAAAGTTAGAAAATAATAAACACATTTATAAAACTATTCTAAGTAAATCAGTTGATTTGAGATCCTGACACAGAAAATCTAATTTTTCAGAATAAATCATTATACTAAGAATACTAATAAAAAAAAAGACTAGGAGAAAATATGTAAAAATTGGAAAGAGGACTAAATTTATGAAATGTGATACAAAAGCCAATGTGCATAAATGAAACAACACATTGTTATATATGATTAGTGCAATAAATTTGGCCAGTAGATAACTTAATGAGGAAGAACTGGAACGTGATTTTAAGTAAATGAACTTAAGTTTTATTTCATTAATATCCCTGAAAAACCGGCTTATAGAACATGGTTTGTAGGACAACCATAAAAGGAAAGCTCTAAGAACTCTGACGTGTGACTCCAATGCCACCCAGGGAAGATCAGGGGATATGAGTTCCAAAACTAGCTGATAGTATCAACACCACCTCCCTGGCTGGACTACTTCACTAGTAAAGATGAATAGTATGACAGCCAAACCCTATGAGTAATTACATCAATTAACTCTCCAGAGGCATTGATACCATCCATGAGTCATCATGAACCTTCAAAAAAACAAGTATAAGGGAGAAAGGCTCTTCCTTTCTGCCTACCCCCAGCCATCAGCTAAGCCGAGACGGGTGCTTTTAAGTACATCCAGGAGCTGTGGAGAAAGGAGTCCGATGTTATGCACGTCTTTCTTAGGGGTGTTGGGGGCAGTACCTCCAGATCTCTATGCTCCACAACCGCCCCCCACCACCCCCCACCACCAGGCACTCTTCCTAACCTGGCCCTATAAAGTGCACAGGTTGGGATACAAGGCCAAGCAGAGTTATGCCATATATCAGATTCATGTGCTCTATATGCTGGCCACAAATGCCCTGTTCCTAAGAGTGGTATCTAAGGCAAGACTGTTCATCAGTTGGTGTTAACTAAAGTTTGTAACAGCCTTCAGTCTGTTGTGGAGGAGTGAGCGGACCAACATTGTGGGACTCTGAAAGTCCTGAATTCTTACTGGGTTGGTGAAGATTCAATGTACAAACTTTTTGAAGTTATTCTCATTGATCCATTCCACAAGGCTATCGGGAAGAATTCTGACACCTATTGGATCACCAAACCAGTCCACAAGCAGAGGGAGATGTGAGTGCTGACATCTGTAGGCGGCAAGAGTCCTGGCCTTAGAAAGGGCCACAAGTTCCACCACATTATTGGTGGTTCTTGCCATGCAGCTTGGAGAAGGCTCAATACTCCACAGCTCCACCGTTACCACTAATGTAAGTAACGTTTGTAAAATTCTTATCTAATAAACAATTTGGGACAGTAAAAAAAACACACACACACACAAAAAACTATAAACAGTGATTCCCATGTCATTAGCTAAGATTAGACAATGATCTTCCTATTTGCTGTCAAATATCTCCTAAGCATACCTAGAAGCAATACTAGATTCAGCGTTCTCAACCTGTGGGTCGCGAACAATGAAAATACATCCTGCATATCAGATATTTACATTACAATTCAAAACAGTAGCAAAATTATAGTTATGAAGTAGCAACGAAAATAATTTTATGGTTGGGGGTCACCACAACATGAGGAACTGTATTAAAGGCTCGTGGCATTAGGAAGGTTGAGAACCACTATAAGTGGAAAATCAAGCAGAGCAATGACAAAGTCCCATTATATTTCTTTTGATAGTGAACAAGCCATTCCTTCAGATGGCAAGTGCCATTCATTCTTTTCATAAATGTGAAATCTTGCCAACTTTTAAATACCAAGTTACTCATGTCTAGTCCACAACTACATCAAGAGCTGACATATCAATAAATGCTATGAAAACCTTCATATTCTTGGATGTTTTTTAAGAGATGAAACAGTGTAACAATATACACTGATAAAATGAGTTAATAAATACATGTTTTCTCATATAAGAAGAAGAGTATAGATAAATTTTCATGAGACATGTAGCAAACCAGTTAGTTTGGAATTTGAAGATAAAGGATTCCCATTCTGCAAAAATCAGGTAGACTATACTTTGTATCATAATGAGGGCACTGGCCTTGAAGAGATAGATTAAATAGTTTGCTAACATTGGGGGAGGAGGGTGACAAGTGGGGTAGGATCTCAATCATTTGCCGCCCCCCCCCCCCATTCACAGTGATTAATCAAATAAATTATAGCAAATAGAATAAATATGCCAGACAGGTAAAGTTATGAACTCTTTAAAATCATTTGTGCAGAGAGAAATAAATACAAGATAAATACCCCTTGAATTTTTCACTAGAAAAATGCATTACATTCTATAGAAACTCAGGTCCGACACTTTCCTAGTTATAACTGAACTGTGCAGGTATGCCTAATGCTTTTTACATTTGTTTAAACTTAAATTTAAACAAATTCAAACTTAAATTTCTCCTGAGGTCTGCTTAAGACGGTTATCTTTGCTAACTTTGTGAGGAAGTTATTTTTCCTTGTTTGTAATTACTGGGACGAGGTATAGGGAGACTTTTCCAGCACATAATTAGAAGACATTAAGTACTCTCTGGGACTTTGTCACATACAGTTGTGTTCAAAATGTATTCCTAGTGTGTATGACATATGTATATATGTATACCCAAGGGGTATATGTACATATTTTATAATTGTCGTGACAATTAAGTACATACCTAATAGCCCGGTGTCAACATCATCTTCATTCTTCAAATTCTCAGCATGTAAGCCTGTAAATACAAAAATGGGCTTGGGTAAAAAAGATAACTTGAACAGTAGCTTGAAGTTTAAGCTGGGAAGACACTATGGAGTTGTGGAAAGTGCTGTAGTGTCAGAAGCAACTGGGTTCAAACTGACTCCACTTAGTAGCTATGTGACTTTCCACAGGCAGGTAAGAGGGCTTTGAGTCAACTGCCCTATATGTAAAACGGGGATGTTTATCCCCTGGGGTGGTTGTGAAAGCATTTCATGTAATGCAAATGAATGAGGCACACTAGGTTTTAAATTCAGTTCCTTTCTCCACACTCTCGGAAATATGCCCAGCTCAGTCTTCTGCAATGGACTTCCAGGTTTTGTGACTTTATGATAAAAAGGCAATCTCTCAGAGCAAAAGGGAGATCAAAGTACCTACAAGATAAACCTCAGAACTGCATTGAAAAAGAAGGGGGTAAGGAGAGTGATAGAGTAGTGATATGGCACACATATATTTAACATTGAGAGTTTACAATCATTGTATGAATAGGTAAACATTGCCCATTTGTTTCCTTTGAACATTAAGCATGGTAAGCTGCTAGATGCCACTTGCAGCCCAGTAGCTTGGAAGTAATAAGGAAAAATAAAAACTGTAATTAAATGGATTTAATTCTATTTAGTGAACTAAAATTAATACTTGAGTGTGTTGGGTGTTTTTCATACATTAAAGGTAATGTTGCTTTAAATGATTTTTCAGTAACTTTGCCAAAGTCACACAGGAGTGAAAACAGATTTACACTCAGGTCCGAGGTCTTTCCGCTGTAACCGCATAATACATCCGTATAGTTTGGAAAACTTTTCAGGGCACATCTCCTTCTATTCAAATCTGGCCAATATGTCAACGTCAGACGCAGGAAAAGAAAACTATTACCCAGAGAAAGTGGACTACCTCCCGCAATAGAACTTGATCGCTACAAAACCGAGAGGGGCCGATTATTTTACCAATAAAAGTAGAAATCTGGGCTGCGGGGTCGAAATCCCCGTCCTTCAGGAATTCTGTGCGTGTACCGAGGACTCGGGGGACAGCACATCTTTAATCACTTGTAAATTAGTCTTTGAACACGTGTGGCCTATGTTATGTACACTTTTCACCGTCTTTTAACGGTCGTTGAAAGTGTTCACTGGCTCTAAGATATTGGTTAACTCGAGGTCCTTTTTTAAAATGGACTCGGACCACCCACTTTCAAGAACAGTGCGGGAAAAGGGAGGGGGGCAAAGAAAGGCGCCGTCAACGGTTCTGGGTGAAGCTGGCTGCCAGCTTGCCGGCCTGGCCTTTCCCGGGGAGACGGGCGGCGAAGGCGAGAGCCACGTCCAGGCTCCACTTCATTCTGGACACATTTGTCAAGGCCCAACCTGCAGTACCTTTCACGATCGGGTAGGCGATGGCGAGAAGGCAAGCGAGGAGGACGGCAAACAGCAGCGCACAGAGAATCGAGAGGACCCGCACCGGCCACCGCCGCGCCCGGGCTGGGCCGCGCGCCTCCGCCGAGAAGAAGCCGTTGCGTTTGTCTGGCAGGACGGGAGAGCCGTCCTTCTCCGGCGGGAGCAGCGCGCCCTTTCTAGGCTCCGACGACGCCCCCGCGGACAGTTCCGCCCGCAAGTCGCGGGCTACTTGGTCGTATCCCTCCTCATCGTCTTCACCTTCACCCCAACTGTCCCCTTGAGTCAAGGCGGATAACCTCGGCCGAGCGAAAGGGACGGGGGTGCCGCGGCGACGGCGCAGCAAAGAAGAGCGCTTCGCGCTCTCCACGAACGACATGGCGGGAAAGACACCGAGCGGCGCAGAGGACGGGCATCTCCCAGCCGCCCCGCCCCCAGCGCGCAGCAGCCAATCAGTGGCCGGGTCTCTCCACGGCCTGCACCACACGGCCCCGGCGCGCAGGGATGCGCAGGCGTGCGAGGTGGGGCTGGGCAGGTGCCATGGGGCTCGAGGAGAGGTTGGACACCCCTGGGCCGGAGCACGACCCCCAGGCAGGAGGAGGGAAGGGAAGGAAGGGACCGCGCAGAGAGGGGCGAATCGAGGCCGAAGGTAATAATAGTCGGGTCTCCCCTCCCTCCGGCGCTTCGTCCAGGCCAGAGACCTCCGCCTCTGCCGCGTCACCTCCAGGCAAGCGAAGGCACTGTCGGCACCCAAGCTGCATCTTTCCGATGCCCGGTCCTAGCGCCCGCTCGTGCACCTCGATTAACATTCCCGAACCTGCCTGCTTTCTCCCTTCCTGCCCTCTACTCCCGCACCCTTCCCCTGCGTCCCTCACTAACGACAGCTCACCAGTCGGCGCTCTCGCCTCGCCTTAAGTTCCACCCCTCTTTTCCTTTGGCATTGTTCCTCCCGCCCCTACCACAACTTCCCTCCACGCAACTCGACACGCCTCCTCCACCCCCAACTCCCCGCCCAGGCGCGCGCTCTCCAGCTGGTGCGTACGGAGATCCAGCCCTCTCCTTGGACCCCTCCTTTGGCCTCCCCTCCCCCTTCCCCCCTCCCCCCTGCCCCGAGCACCGCGCGCGCGCGCGCGCGTCGGTCCCGGGCCACCGCTAACGCTAGAAGCCTCTGACCCCACCCCACCTACCCCACCCTACCCCTGGCGGCCTCAGGTTTGTGGGGCATAAGTAAGTCGGGCGGGGGGGTGAAGGTGGCAGGTCCCCACTGCCCCACCCCCTACGGGGTGAGGCGGGCTAAGCTCGGAAAGCTGGGACACAGTTGTCTGCCCTTCCCGGGGGGAAGTTGGTGGAGTTTTTCCGGCAGAGGACTCGGCGCAGAAACTTCCTCCGTCCCCTTATCCCCCCCTCCATGCAGGCGACGCCGAGTGAGCCTGAGGCAGGGGGCGAATCGCCGCAGAGCTGCGTGTCGGAATCGCACTCTGATTGGACAGCGGGAAAGCCTGTCAGCCTACTGGCCCCGCTGATCCCGCCCCGTAGTGCCGGGCAGCCTTTAACCTTTGGCCCCAGCGGGCGCCAGCCACTCAGATCGCTTCTTGTTGGCATATGCAGCGGCAGTGGCCGCCGGCGGAGCAGTCAGAGCCCGATGATGAGGCCGGGGACGGGAGCCGAGCGTGGAGGCCTCATGGTGAGTGAAATGGAGAGCCATCCTCCCGCGCAGGGTCCTGGGGACGGGGAGCGGAGATTGTCCGGCTCAAGCCTCTGCTCCAGCTCTTGGGTCTCTGCTGACGGCTTCCTGAGGAGACGGCCCTCGGTAAGGGATCGGAGCGGCACAATGAAAAACAGAGACAGGAAGCTTTCTCCAAAAGGAGGAGAGAGAACGGAGGAAGAGCTCGAGATGGGACGTGCTCAGAAGGAGAGAAATGGAGGGCGGGGATGCACAAAGGGAAAGATGTGGGACCCTGGAAGTTTCCAGCGGGCCCGGCGTAGACAGATGCGCGGCGGAGGTGCTGGGCCCCTAGCGCGGTGAGCGTCTCGGAGGGCAGGCCCAAGGTAGGAGGGAGGGGAAGGCGGCGACGGGGTTCTCTAGGCTCTAAGAGTCTGCGAGACGGGGTTCTCTAGGCTTTAAGAATCCGCCAAGACGTGTTCCCGCTGGTGGGGGTGTCGGTAGGGTGCACAGCTGGGAGAATTTGCAGGCGATAATTAGCTGGCTTTAAGACTTGCAACCAGTGGACAGAGGTAAAGGCGGTAGATGTCTTACCAAAGCGCATGAAAATGGATGAATTAGTTGTTGGCATGTCGTGGGAATGACAGACCTCAGTTTTGGAATAAGAATTTTTTTTTTTTTGGCAGAAGTACTTTTACGCGTCTAAAGATTATATTTGAGAGTAGTATGTGTATTTTTTAGGAGTGAGGTGTCCCTGGATACCCCTATTTGTGTTTTATAAGACCAGCCCTCATCTGAGTTAATTTGGTAATTTCAGCGTTTTAAAGCTTAAAAATCAGTTCAGAAATAAATTTAAGAATAAATGGCTTTAAACAATAGCTGTCTATCTTATATCTGTGTGATATAGGACAAAGTTGTTTTCATAACAGTTTTTAAATTGGCTTTCTTACACTTCTGAACTTAGCAAGTCAATTAGCAAGTGATTAAATCAGTGTGCTTTAAAACTAAGATCTAACTGTCCAGTAATGATTATTTTTTTACCTATTCTTCTGGGATTTGGTTAGTTACCGCTCATTATAAGTATTGGTGACGTGCATTTTGTTTAAGATAAGAAAGTATAAACGAACCCTAATAATTAAATCACACTTTAGCCTAATGTTACATCGCTGCACTTAACTGATTTGTTGAAATCAGATTTTTTGAAAAGTATTTATTGTTACTTGTTCGTTTTTAAATTGTCCTTATTTTTCAGATGGGGCATCCTGGCGTGCATTATGCCTCAATGGGAATGCACCCTATGGGTCAGAGAGCGAATATGCCTCCTGTACCACATGGAATGATGCCACAAATGATGCCCCCAATGGGAGGTCCACCAATGGGACAAGTAAGAATGTTTTTATTTTATTTTGCTTTTATTTTTGCCTGTTGTATTATTGTGTCAAGATTTCAAAATCTGGGTCAAAACTTGTAGTTTTTTAAGGATTAGTTTATGTCGAAGTAATGTTTTCAAATAAGTGAAATGTTCAGTCATGACACTAACCATTTTGAATATATGAAGTCTTCTGTATAAAATAACTACTTTCACTGCAACAAAACTAAGAGGTTGTGTGTTTTTTTAAAGTTAATTTAAAAGTAACACTGTAAATGTGGGCTTTTTAGTTTAATGACTTTTTCCTACAAGTATGTCAATTGAAGTTAATGCTCTAAGAATAAATATCTGATAAGTCAACATAATTTCTATCGGGGGGACCACGTGAATGCATAGAATCTGAAAATTGCAATTGTTTAGGTCTTTGGCTGTTTAAATGAATTCTTTTTCTGAAATAGCTTCCTCATTGTGTATGTGTGTGTGGGGTGTGGAGGTGGGTATGTTCTGCTCTAATTTGATTCTTAATAGGACAGTGCCAAATAGGTAGTTCATTTTCCACTTACACTGTGTTGTTGTTTTCTTTTAATGCTTATTGCTTCTGCACTCCTGCTTTGAGCTGTCCCTTCCATCTCCAGCATAAATTGAAAGAGGACATTTTGTGGGAGTGATTTGGATCAAAAGATTTTGATTTGGCTCAGTGAATTCAATAGAACTGAGTTCCTAGAGAAGCATTCAAGAAAAGTAACAGGTTTAGTTACTGTGAATAATTTTATGCCCGTTAGGTTCTAATATTTCTTAGTAGAGCTGCTCTTAAATAGATAATGAGCTTTAAAAAATATTTCAGTGCTTTCATTTTTAAAATTAGTTTGGTGACTGGCTTCTTTCCATTTGAGTATCTCAATAAATCATCAAAACTTTAGGATAATGAAATATTTTGGAAAGCCAGTCAATTAGGTATGAACTTTCTGCTAATTAATGGTTTACTTTGATAAGCAATTAAGCCTTGATGGTTTTAAGTTATGGGTGAAATTGTAGTGGAGAAGGAGCTTGCTCTGTGTCTCTCTACCTTAAGAGTAGAGGGGCTTAATGTCAGGTGCTTTCCTTTTTTTATGTGGAATATTGCCCTTAATTTTGTATAAAAATCTTTATTCAAACGCACAAGGCCCAAAGATTCTGCTTGTAGGACTTCTTTAAATAAAAGAATCATTTATTCTGTTACTCTAAAACAGGGGTGGGGAACCTTTTTCTGCCAAGGGGCATTTGGATATTTATAACATCATTTGCAGGCCATACAAAATTATCAACTTAAAAATTACCCTGCTATATTTGATCAAACATTTAATTAACTCACCTCTAATGCCTTGGCAGGGCCAGACCAAATGATTTCCAGGGCTTTATAATGCCTGAGGGCTGGATATTCCTCACCTCTGCTCTAGAATATCACAAGTTTTAAAACTCCCTAGGTGATGGAGAAACAACTTTGATTCATTCCTCTTCTGTTTCTTTCCATCTCTAAGCAGCAAGGAGCTCTTGTTTTCTTAGTAGAGCTGCTCTAACTAGATAATGAGCTTTAAAAAATATTTATTCTTTAAATGCTCTGGTTCTTATTTAAAATTAGTTTCTTTCCACAGAAAGATAAAATAAAACAATTTGCTACTGCCAGATGCTTCTCTCTTTTCTGGGGCCTTCTGTTTCCATTGGGCCAATCAAGGTAAGTTTTGCAAGGGATTGACCTGCTTACCCTTGCTGTAATGGTGCTATTGCACTACTAAAACTAAGATACCAGCTAGTCATTTCTAGTAAATTGCAGATTTTATTTAATTTTTTTAAGTACTTTTGTGTATCTCATTGACATAAGCTGGTCACAATTTGCATTATGGCCCTTTCTCTTTAGTTACATTAGTGACCATTTTCCTAGTAAGGTTACTGGCTACTTGGTACACATCCATTCATGTACTCTGAAGTTCACCTTGTGGTTTTTTTCTACTTTTTTCCCCAGACTAGTATACGCCATGTGACTTTAAGTGTACCTGACTATTTAAATGTTTAGAAGTCTGTCTCTCCCTGTGGCTACTGTTAAGATAATGAATGTCTTAGGATTCTAGCTCTGAGGGTCCCAAGAGAATCCCCTTTGTTTTTCCTTAAAATAAGATTATTCCTCTTTTTTCCTCTTAATATCTAACTAACAAATATTGGGTTCAAGTATTGGTAAAACTAATTCTTATTTTAGCTTTGATAATAGACTGGGAGGGCATGGGTAATTTCAATACTCAACTAATCTGGAAATCTAACTTAAAGAGCTGTAAACGACCCTAAAAATAAAAATTGATAATTTTCTGCATCATTCTGTTGACCCACTCTCAGAAGTATTAATAAGTAGTAAGTGGTCAGAAGATAATGAGAAGTAGGGTTGCTTGTAAGTTCACTGCAGTGACACAATGTTGGTAGTATCCTGCCCATCCAATTTTTAAAAAATGAATTCACAAATTCTTTAGACATTGGTACTGACAGTTATGGAACCTTCATCTACATTGCCTAGTTCACATTAACATCTCATTCTGGGACCAGCTGAAGACTAAAATTGGTGGCAGTCTTCTAAATGATTATGGTCTGTGATATGTTATGGAACATAACATGAAATTTTAAGCCTTATTTGTAAACTAATATACAAACTGGACAGAATAACAATCTATAGAAGCCAGAGTTCATAATTTTTCAAATGCAGCAAGTTAATTTAAAGTATTATGTTCATTTTATTTTATTTTTTATTCAAGAGATAATCCGGAATGCCCTTTTTAGAATTCAGCCTGAATCTTTTAGTAACAAATATTTGAAAATTATTAGTGGAGCTCAAA